CTGAACTGTAGAGAGTAGAAGTACACCATGTACCTCTGAACTGTAGAGAGTAGAAGTACACCATGTACCTCTGAACTGTAGTGAGTAGAAGTACTTTAAACCTCTAGCTACATGTCACTAAAGGAATAATGTTTCTGTCTCTTATAGTAAATGTGTAAAAGGTAATATTAGATGTTTCTTGATGTATTTGTATTTGATTGCTCTGATGTTTCTGTTGTTTCTCAGATGACGTACGTCCTGCTGGACATCGCCGTGCAGGAGCTGTTCCCTGAGCTCAGCAAGGTAAAACACACGAGAAGAGAAGAGACTCACCGTGGTGTCTTCAAATAGAAATGTAACTCCTGATATGAGATCTATCCCAATGCTACCTAGCAACAGAGGCTTTTTATATCTCTGGAAGCTAAAACATATTTATTAGGATCACTTTTTTAAATCTCCGGACGCCTGGACACGAGATGTGACTGTTTTTATTCTTTTAACATTCCTAACCCCAGCTGTTCCCTCTTCAAACTCTAATCCAAATGTTTTGACAGCATTTGGAGACTTTCTCCTGACTTCATTCTTTTCCTTCCAGCTAACACACACACACACACACACACACACACACACACACACACACACACACACACACACACACACACACACACACACACACACACACACACACTATCCTGAGCCTGTCCCACACACACACACCAGATTTATGAGGAAAAATGTAAGAAATTACAAGATAAACTGAAATATTATTTGAGATTAACACACACACACCAAACACACACTAAACACACACTATCCTGAGCCTGTCTCTCTCACACACACACACACACACACACACACACACACACACACACACACACACACACACAACACACACTATCCTGAGCCTGTCTCTCTCACACACACACACATACACACACACACACTAAACACACACTAAACACACACCAAACACACACTATCCTGAGCCTGTCCCCCACACACACACTAAACACACACTAAACACACACCAAACACACACTATCCTGAGCCTGTCCCCCACACACACAATAAACACACACACACTAAACACACACTAAACACACACCAAACACACACTATCCTGAGCCTGTCCCCCACACACACACTAAACACACACACAGACACACACACACACCAGTTTTATGAGAAACAACTCAAAATATTACATTTATTGAGATTAAATAGGGAGATAAAGTGAAACCTTCTCTGACAGCTGGGCCCTGAACTCTCTCACACATGCAGTTACACACTCTCCCTCTGATGCTCTTATCTGACTGATACTCATTAAACTCTATAATTCTGAGTGTCTCTGACATGCTGACGCTGCTTCCTGTTTCCTCTGCAGGAGTGAACGAGGCGTGTGGAGAGCTGACGTGTGGATCGCCTGTTTCTGAACTCCTCTTTAAATTCCAGTGTATATAAACCATTGAATAAAGAGACATATATTTATTGATCTAACTGCAGCTGTCTGTCATCTTTTCTGTTTCTAACCAATAGAGATTTAGCACGTCAGCCAATGAAATCCATGCTAAGAGTCCCAAGATGCATTGCTTCAATTCACTGGATTGGATTAGATAGACTTTTCTTTAATGCTATTTCCTTCAGTGGGAGTGCTGACACAGCATTCCCACTGTCTGTTCTGCTTCACACACAATTCTTTATTATTCCGCCAGGTTATTTTGCGCCTCTTCTGCTCCCACATTCCACATCGCAGAAACTCCGTTCAAACATTAAAACGTTCAGCTCGGTTTGGAATCGATGGCTATTACTTTTCTCATTCATAACTTTCATAACTCCAGAGATACATCCCATAATACATCACATTTTTAACATTGAAGTCAATGGAGGAAATCTTCAGACTTCAACAAATCTTCATGTGAATTCAACTGCTAACTGTTCATTCATACTTTCACTCAGACCTCATTCCAACTTTAAAATGTTACAAATCTTTCTGACATTATTCAGTTTTTTCCTCTCATTCAGAACAATGGAAACCTTTGATCTCTGCATACCTCGTTAGCTCAACTATAAACACCTGTGTCATGGAACACGATGATGTCATCGCTCCACCTGACATGCTCAGAGCAGCAGACTTCAGATAGAGGTTAACGGTCCTGCCCTCAACAGCTCTACGTCCATTATGGGGTGTCTTCATTATATGCCGAAGAGAGAGAGAGGGCGATCAAGAGAAGAGAGAGAGTAATGTAACCTCCTAATGTAATGTGTAACTCCTATGAAAATGTTAAAAAAGTGCTCAAACTTCACCTGTGTGCTAACAGTCCAGCCGTGAAGACATCTACGGGACAGTTTTGAGATTTCTTCAAATGCCGTTGCCATGGCAACACAATGCTCGCCTTGAAACACGGTTTTCTAATAACTTCAGTGAAAATGCTCCAAACGGCCCAAAACATCACAGGTTTGGTAACAATGCAGCCATCAACGCATCTAAGCGTATTATGGGATGTCATCAAATGCCGTTGGCATGGCGACAGATTATTCGCCATGAAGTTAGTTCAGAAGTTTGCAGTTCAAATATTCTGCTGCTTTCCCAAGCCTTTTTACTTTCTTTTCTTCTCTCATCACACATTCAAGCCCCCTGTGTTCATGTATCATTTCAATCTAAATTATTCACTTTCTTCTTACACATTACATTTCAGCATAGCAGTTTAGCGTCAGCTTTTCAGCATAAAGCATTCCCACTAGCAATTTCTTCAGGAATTGCATTCTCTAGTTTAGCTCTGAACTTCACAAAAACATTTTGTTGAATTGGAAACAATTTTTGAAGCTCTATTGACTGACATGCGATGACTGGGACTGATGTAAGAATCTGAGAGGAATAAACTAGGAGCAGAGAAATAATACTATTTAAAAGACAGCACGCCCCATAAGACGCCAACAAGAGTCACAAGGGTGTGTC